CCTGAATCACCCGAACCCGTAAGACCTGAATCACCCGAACCCGTAAGACCTGAATCACCCGAACCCGTAAGACCTGAATCACCCGAACCCGTAAGCCTTGAATTACCCGAACCCGTAAGACCTGATTCACCCGAACCCATAAAACATGAATCACCCGAACCTGTAAAACCTGAATTACTCGATCCCGTAAAACCCAATACACTCGAACCCGTAAAATCTGATTCACCCGAACCCCTAAAACCTGAATCACCCGAACCGATAATACCCGATACTCAGACGACACCCGAACCCGTAGTACTCGATACACAGCTGACACCCGAACCTATAATACCCGACGCACCGGTCAATTCGTCGTCGTGTCAGCTCATCAGTAATAAGCGAACAAAGGGTCTGCAGGTGTCGTTTGAGAAGACACCCGAACCCGTAAAACCCGATACACCGGTTCGGCGCAAACCACGAGCGAAACGAACTGTCGATTCCGTGGATCAGACGTCGCCGGCTTCCCCGCCGGTCAACACCAAAATCAAACGCAAAGCACTCGAACCCGTCAAACCTAATACACCGGTTCCGCGCAAAACACGGGCGAAACGGACAATTGATTCCGTGGATCAGACGTCGACGACTTCCCCGCCCCTCAAAACTAAAGCCAAACGTAAAGCGTCTGAACCCGTGAAACCCGAAACACCAGTTCAGCGAACAACACGCGCCAAACGGACTGTCGATTCAGTGGATCAGACTTCGACAGCTGCCCCGCCGGTCAAAACCAAAGGCAAAAGCAAAGCTCTCGATTTCGTGAAAGCCGATGCATCAGTTCAGGGAACAACTCGAGCGAAACGGGCTGTCGATTCCGTGGATCAGACGTCGACAGCTGCCCCGCCCGTCAAGACTAAAGCCAAAAGCAAAGCTCTCGAGTCCGTGAAAGCCGATGCACCGGTTCAGGGAAAGACCCGCGCGAAACGGACTGTCGATTCTGTGGATCAGACCTCGACAACTGCCCCGCCGGCCAAAACCAAGAGCAAAGCCAAAAGCAAAGCCAAAAGCAAAGCTGTTGAGACCGTGAAATGCGATGCACCAGTTCAGGGAACAGCCCGAGGGAAACGGACTATGGATTCCGTGGATCAGATCTCGACAACTGCCCCGCCGGCCAAGACTAAAGCCAAACGCAAAGCTCTCGAACCCCCAAAACCCGATTCTCCGGTTCGGCGGACGACTCGATCGAAACTGACTGCGGATTCGGTGGACCAGACGTCGACGACTGCCCCGTCGGCCAAAACCAAAGCCAAACGCAAAGCTAAGAAACAATAGAGTGTGTGAGAGAAGGACGAGAGTGGGAGAGAATGAGAGTCAATGAATGTATTGTACGGATAATAGTCTACATTTTGCATGTAATCATACCATCACTTACTGTACATATCGTAGTGTCTGTTAGTGAAAGACCCGCTGAATATAAATTAGAGATTTTGTACGCCTTTTTAAACACATACCACACATAACAACACATTTAGTATACATTTTAATATATTTATCCAATAGTTTTTAGCCCATAAATCGTTTCATTGAATATATTGTATGTATTTTTAAAACATGTTTTCATTATTTTATAAATATAAGTTATATAACTATTAACCGGTCCTTTGAATACAAATATAATTTGTTCGGTAATTAATATTTTTCTCGTATATGTTTTGTAAGTAAAATACTATTAAAGCTATAATTTATGGTTTTCTATAATAAAATTGATTTTCTCTACTATTAAAGCGAATTTTCAAAACTAATTTAACACTTAATTAGATTAGTTTTGGATTCAATTTTTTCTGGAAAAACAAATTAATTAATGATTACTCACACATTGATAGCAGAAATAATTGTTTTCCGACTCTTTTTTGTATATTTAAATAAAATTAAAAGTTTTAATTGTTATTCATTGTAATTATAGACTAATTTATAGCATGTTTTTGATCTGACAAACCATATCATAGGTGTGTTGTATAACTGGAAAAGTGTTTATTTTTTGAAATTTTATTATATTTGTCTATAAAATGATTGTAAATTATTTTCTATAATTGAAAACAATTATAAAATACTTTGAAAACAAAAAACATTGTCATAAAAAGTGAGAGATGATTTTATTTTGAAAATTTTAATTTAATTACAACCATAAACACAAGTAATACTGTATATACAGCGACAATAATATTCAGTACTTAAAAATATTAATAAAAAGGATATTTGAATTGCAGTAAAAGTACACTGTATTTAATTAAGATTAATTGTACGTTTGTGTTAACCAGTATTTGTCTGTCTGTGTGTCCCCTCCTTTACCCCTACTCTCTATAAGACACTCCTTTTCTCAATTTTTAAACATTAACTTTAAGTAAAGTCTTATTCAATAGTCGATAAGACGGTGTCATTAAAAAAATAGTTGTCGACACAAACTCGAGGCTAAAACTATTGATTTAAGAAATTCACGATTTGTTATTTAGGCTTCTTTTCCTCAGATTACAAATTAATGGCACGAAATACAAGAAAAACATAATTTCATTTATATTTTACTTTTTTTGTTTGTTATTTAAATATTAAAACGAATAGTGGAGTGAAAGTAATTCCTTATGTATGATGTTATATACGTTTACAATCAATACCAACGCCCAGACAATGTGTGCCCTAAAACAAGTCTCGATTCAATCACTGCATTCATACCATTCACACCCTTCTTATATTCTATGCCATCACACGAGACCTGATCTCTGGCTATGGGTGTTGTGTTGTGTCACTAATATATACACTAATCAAATGTTATATATAAGAAATGGCCTCTAATTTACCAAATTGTATTTCACAACCACTTCAATCTTTCCAATTCTCTCTCTCTCGCTCTCTCTCTCTCTCATTTTCTTTCTATCGCTCTCTTACTCCCAATTTTATAGACGAGGGAAAAAAGTTCTTAATTTAGTGCATGAATGAGATGTTTGTTTTAATGGCTCTGGAATTGACATTTCGATTGCAATCCCTTTATACACATCTCTGTGTCTATATATTTGGTTTCACTGTTCAAACAAACGCTCATATAATTGACATTAATTTGTTTAATATTTATTCATATTATATATCTGTACACAAACTATATATACATATAAAAAATATACATTCTGTATATTATATACTTGTATATAATCCATATAAAAGTCGGGCCAAAAAGTAATTATGCTCTCAAAGCTTATTGAAAACGACAAATAAATCAAATAACGGGACAGTAATGTGGATGTCGTGAAGTTTTTATGAACAGCTAATAGATATCGGAATTCTTTAATATATAAATTTATATGTGGAGAGGATGTGTATGGGTTTGGATGGGGTCTATGGGCTGGCATTGTATCGTACGGTATGCTATGGTATGGCATATATAGTGGAGTACAGTATAGTTGATGGCATGACTTAAGCCTTATATAACTTTTGATACGAGATGTGAATAATAGTGAGGAACGGACGCCAAAAACACACGCACTTTAACATTAATGTATAGTATAGTCCTATTAATGCTTATTCTGTCGTATATATACCCCGTATGTGTTGTTATTACTAAAAATACAGTTTGATTTTAATCACTAAAGTCACAAAATTAGCGCAAAAAGTTTAAAATTATTCCTTGAATTATATATTTAAGTGTTTTTCTGTTTTTGTTTTATATCTCTGTTTGTTTTTTAAAAGGAAGAGAGAGAGAGAGAGAGAGAGAGAGAGAGAGATTCATGTCACGGATATTTTACTAACATCAAAATATTCATTACTTTGCCTTATACTTTATACGGGTTAACTATACTGTACTCCACTATATATGCCATACCATAGCATACCGTACGATACAATACCAGCCCATAGAGAGAGAGAGAGAGCTATTTAGACGAAACAGCTATTTAGCCGTCAGTAATACGATCCGTGAAAATGCTTTTTTCAGTTGTTTTTATTGTTTCGGCACAGAATTCACGTTCGCGTCGAGTGTTTGTGTCGACTGAACGCAATAATTGATGAAATAATTTACGAAATGATTTTTTATATGTCGTATAAATATAATGTATGTGAAAAAAGGGGATGACTATGATTACAGTGCCAACGGTCGGGTGCGCTGATGTGCACCAAAGTTACTGATAAAAAACGAAAAATTATATTTCACTAGTTTTTATGACTATTGATGATGAGGCGTATGCACTCTCTCCCACTCCCTGCACTTTTGCCTATCTCCCGGTGCTCTCTCTCTCTCTCTCTCTCTCTCTCTCTCTCTGCCATTAACACAATTATCTTGATTTCCAGGCAAACCATTTGCATTGAACGGTCTTCTCATGAATGGCAACCGTAAATGTGAGCTCAAGAATAACGACAAGTTGTCCATCGGCTGCAAGACATTCCTCTTCCGTAAATGCAAACCAATGACAAATACAGCGATCACTTCCACGTCGTGTCAGTTCATCAACAATAAGACAACAAATGCATTGCAAGTGTCGCTCGAGAAGACACCAGAACTACTAAAACCCGATTCACCCGAACCCGTAAGACCTGAATCACCCGAACCCGTAAGACCTGAATCACCCGAACCCGTAAGACCTGAATCACCCGAACCCGTAAGACCTGAATCACCCGAACCCGTAAGACCTGAATCACCCGAACCCGTAAGACCTTTCTCTCTCTCTCTCTCTCTCTCTCTCGCTCTCTCTCTCTCGCTCTCATGCTCTCTCCTGTCTATGTCAGTAATAGTTATGCTATTTTTAAACATACAATAGAAATAGTGTATAAAAGTCTCTCTCGTCATGCAATTTGACGCAAACTCTGTAATAACAGCTCACATGAGCCCAAACGCAACGAGAGATATAGAGAAGTGAGGGATATATAGATTCGTCGACAGAATATTCTGAATGTGAGGCACGACTGGAAATCAGGCGAAGCACTGAAGCATTTCTCTCCTAACTATTCATACGAGGAGTTGTGCTGAGCATTGCTGGCAACGGCGCTGCCATACGTTTCGCCAGAGGAGAGAGAGTTTGTGCGAAGAGAGTGATACTGAAGGCAAGAGTGAGCTGAAGAGAGAAAGAGAGACTGAGAGGAGAGAGCAAAGAGAGTGTGTTTGTGAGGAAAGACCAGCGAGAGAGCCAAGAGAGTGATAGAGAATATATACATACGGAGAGTACAGTCACTCGATATACATAATACCGTATAAAACATATATTTTATTGAAAAGTGTGTTTAAAACAAAAATTTGGTGCAAAATCTGTTGTGTTTTTGTGCATATTTTGACACTAAATTGAAGCCCAACTGAAATGGTATGACATTTATAATGATATCGATTTTGTGGGTTCACACAAATTGGGATCCGTTTTTTGCGGATCCATTTGGCATCCATTCAAAGCCAATGCGTTATCTAATATACAATTGATTTAATCCGATGGTAGGGTAAGAATGCGAAAGACAAGGCCCAGGCGAAGAAGGAGAACCTCGACGACCTCAAGCAGGAGGTGTCGATGGACGAGCACAAGATCACTTTGGAGGAGCTTTACACCCGGCTTCAGGTGGAGAACTGGGAGAACGGGTTGACCACCGCTCAGGCCAAAGCATTTCTCGAGAGGGACGGCCCGAACGCACTCACGCCTCCCAAACAGACCCCCGAATGGATTAAGTTCTGCAAACAATTGTTCGGCGGTTTCGCGCTATTGCTATGGATCGGCGCTATTCTCTGTTTCCTCGCTTATGGCATACAGGCGTCCAGTTTTGAAGAGCCGGCGCCCGACAATGTATGGCATATATCCATTGTTTGTCTATATTTATCAACCAATACATCCCTTTTCTCCGACCCATAGTTATACTTAGGAGTAGTATTGGCGGCGGTAGTGATCATCACCGGCTGCTTCTCCTACTATCAAGAGGCCAAGTCGTCAGCCATTATGGAATCGTTCAAGAATATGGTTCCACAGTACGCCACTATTGTCAGAAATGGCCAGAAGAATACCATCACCGCCGAGGAGGTAGTGGTCGGCGATATCGTTGAGGTGAAAGGCGGCGATCGGATACCGGCCGACATTCGCATTATTAAAGGTATGAATTGTTTAATATTTACGCCAATATTCATTGATCAACACATTTATACCACTGATTAGCCCACGGATGCAAAGTAGACAACTCTTCACTGACGGGTGAATCCGAGCCGCAAACCCGTTCACATGATTTGTCCAGTGATAACCCCCTCGAGACCCGCAATTTGGCCTTCTTCTCGACCAACTGTGTCGAAGGCGCCGCCACTGGGATCGTCATAAACACCGGCGACCGCACTATTATGGGCCGAATCGCTAACTTGGCGTCGGGTCTGGCGATGGGCGAGACTCCCATCGCTCGCGAGATCGAGCACTTCATTCACATCATCACAGGTGTGGCCGTCTTCCTGGGCGTCACTTTCTTCGTCATAGCATTCGTGTTGGGCTACCACTGGTTGGACGCCGTTATCTTTCTCATCGGCATTATTGTGGCCAATGTTCCCGAAGGTATGGCCAACCAGTGCTCTCTCTCTCTCTCTCTCTCTCTCTCTCTCTCTCTCTCTCTCTCCACAGATCGTTCATATATTAATGCATTTATTTCCTTTCAAACGCAGGACTATTGGCAACTGTGACCGTATGTCTGACACTGACGGCCAAACGTATGGCCAGTAAGAACTGTTTGGTGAAGAACTTGGAGGCCGTGGAGACACTGGGCTCCACATCGACCATATGTAGCGACAAAACCGGAACTCTGACCCAAAACCGGATGACAGTCGCGCACATGTGGTTCGACAACCATATCATTGAAGCCGACACTACGGAAGACCAGAGTGGCGTCCAATACGACAAGAGCTCTTCCGGTTGGAAGTCATTGAGTCGGGCCTGTGTTCTGTGCAGTCGCGCTGAGTTCAAGGGCGGTCAGGACGCCGTCCCTATTCTTAAACGGTATTATATATCGATTCCTATTACTATTGTATTGTATTTCCAAATTAACGCATTCAAAACTAATGCCTCTCTCTCTCTCTCTCTCCAATTGAATGTCTATGCAGTGAGTGTGCGGGCGATGCGTCCGAATCAGCGATATTGAAATGTATGGAAATAGCGATCGGAAACGTGACGGCTGTTCGCAAACGTAACCCTAAAGTATGCGAAATCCCATTCAACTCAACCAACAAATATCATGTGACCATTCATGAGACCGAAGACCAGAACGACCCGAGCTATCTGTTGTGCATGAAGGGCGCACCCGAACGCATACTCGACCGCTCGGGCACTATATTCATCAACGGAGAGGAGAAGATACTCGACGAAGACATGAAAGACGCGTTCAACGCCGCGTACCTCGAGTTGGGAGGTCTGGGCGAACGTGTGATCGGTTTATGCGACTATAGACTGCCGGCAGACAAGTACCCGCCCGGCTATCCCTTCGACGCCGATGAGGCCAACTTCCCATTAGATAATCTCCGCTTTTTGGGCTTAGTGTCGATGATAGACCCGCCGCGAGCCGCTGTGCCCGACGCCGTGGCCAAGTGTCGCAGCGCCGGCATCAAAGTGATCATGGTCACCGGCGATCATCCCATCACCGCTAAGGCCATCGCCAAAGCCGTCGGCATTATATCAGAGGGTAAGTCAAAGTGTATAATATGTCTGTCTGTCTGTCTGTGCGCTGATGTATGTCTCGATCTGTCCTTTTTTGCCATTTGATTGCTATCTATACTCTATATTTGGGTTAACCATTGAATGGTATTATGAAATTCATAGCAATTTCAATGCATACCACTGTTAATGAGATGTTTTCGTCAAAATGCATGTATGTTTTTTCCTGTCGTGTATTTGCGAAGAATTTTCAATTTTATAATTATAAACTCAAATCACGCGAAACTTTTGGCTATAAATTAAACTTAAAAATTTCATAATTAGGCGATAATAACAATAACGACTGGGAATTTATGGCTATATTTTATTTCAATTCATTTAACATATATTTTTGATAAACATTTGAATTCACAATTTAAGCGCATAATATCATTATTCACTCTCCGGCTAATAAAATCTCATATATTAAATAATTTAGAGCCCGGGTTTGCGAGAGAAGCATTAGTTTTGAATGCGTTAATTTGGAAATACAATACAATAGTAATAGGAATCGATATATAATACCGTTTAAGTGAGAGAGAGAGAGAGAGAGAGAGAGAGAGAGGATATATAACATACATATATTTTCCATAGAAATAAACACAAAACTCATTGCCATAATATAATACATTAAATCCAAACGGAGTGAATGTATTAAAAAATTGATGATATTTTCTATTTAATGATAACCACGACTACTATATCAATACAACCACTACTACAATACACAACACAACTAATTATGGCTTTTGGCAGTCATTTGCACTGAAGAAAGAAATAGCTAATTATCGTATACTTATATAATGTTATATAAATGATTGCAAATACATTTATATTTAATGCATTTTTTCACTTCAATACCTCTACTATACCTGAAATACAGGACAACTGCAGTAAAGTATGTTTACTGTTGAGTCTTGTTTTCCTAGTTATTCCCATTTATGTCTTATATATTGTAAAATATAATCAGTTTAGTTAAAAATGTAAGAATTTTATAAAAATAACTTTTTATCTCATCATTTATAATGAAATCGCAGTTTAATTAATTTTTTTGCTGTAATTCTGCAGAAATGAAGACTATTTGCAGAATTTTATTGAATTTATTATTATATGATTACTGAGAGAGAGAGAGAGAGAGAGAATCTGAGATGAGAGCAAAAAATAACCGACAAAGAATAGGCGAAGAAAATTGAGTGAATTTCACGATTATGGTTGTGATAAATTTTTAGTGAACATTGAATTTCCATATTATTATTAACAATACATGACATTTAATATAATTATTAATATTAATTCAATATATATTATAGTTTTTTTCGTTTCGACTGCACTATTGATTTGCATATTATTCTCATTTCATTGCAGTTATAGTTTTGGCGTTAAACGCGAAAAATATGTGTTTAAAAATATACCCACTTTTGTCGCACACTTTAATTAGACAACAATTATAGCATAACATAACATGAGATGCAGTTCATGCATAAAATATTTTTGTTTGAATTGCAAAATATTATAAAAATGTTTTGTAAATATGTTTGCAAAAAAGGCAGAGAGGGAGTGAGGGAGAGGGAGTGAGGGAGAGGGAGTGAGGGAGAGGGAGGGAGGGAGGGAGAGAGAGAGAGAGAGAGAGAGAGANGGATATAAAGGAGAGGGCGAGAGAGAGAGAGAGAGAGAGAGAGAGAGAGAGAGAGAGAGAGAGAGAGTAGAAAATTATATTTGCCTTACATTTGTCCACAATTATTTGATTTATTGCATTTTCATTGCTATGTTTTATTAATAATAGTAATAATAATAGTCGTAATAATGTTTTACAATAATTATATTGAAATACAATATTTACCTGAATATAGAGTAACTTTATATTATGCAATGTATGGGTATTGAGAGACATATAATATATAAATTTTTATCATGAAATTGCATAATATATCAAATAACTTACCCCTACTATTGAACTCCCGGTGCCATAAAAACGGGCACAAAACTACAGGTACTGAGACTGTAGAGGACATCGCATTGAGACTAAACATACCGATAGAGGACGTGAACCCACGGGACGCGAAGGCGGCTGTAATTCACGGGCAGGACCTGAAGGACATGAACGCCGAACAATTGGACGAACTTCTTGCTTATCACACGGAGATAGTGTTCGCCAGGACTTCGCCGCAACAGAAGCTCATTATAGTGGAGGGCTGTCAACGTCAGGGCGCTATCGTCGCCGTCACCGGTGATGGTGTGAACGACTCGCCGGCCCTCAAGAAGGCCGACATCGGTGTGGCGATGGGTATCGCCGGCTCCGATGTGTCCAAACAGGCGGCAGATATGATACTTTTGGACGACAACTTCGCGTCGATAGTGACGGGTGTAGAGGAGGGACGGCTTATATTTGACAATTTGAAAAAGTCTATCGCATACACACTGACCAGTAATATACCAGAGATCTCTCCCTTCCTCTTCTTTATCATATTCAACGTGCCGTTGCCTTTGGGAACGGTTACCATTCTGTGCATCGATTTGGGCACCGATATGGTGCCCGCCATCTCTCTGGCCTACGAACAGGTAATATACATAACACATACATAGACTTAGAAACTTAGGATATATGCGAAACAAACTAATAAACACTGTTTTGTGTCTCGGTTTAGGCCGAAAGTGATATAATGAAACGCCAGCCCCGGGACCCGAAAGTAGACAAACTGGTGAACGAGCGGCTCATATCTGTGTCGTACGGACAGATCGGTATGATTCAAGCGGCCGCTGGTTTTTACGCCTACTTTGTCATTATGGCTGAGTATGGCTTCAAATCGGACCTATTGTTCGGTCTTCGGGAGGACTGGGACTCCAAAGGTGTTAACGATTTGCAGGATTCTTACGGACAGGAATGGGTTAGCGATTGAATACCTCTTTAACATTATATGTTTTTCCGATTGTAATCAAATGTTTGTCTTTTGGACGGCGCAGACATATAAGGCCCGCAAACAAGTGGAGTACACGTGTCACACGGCTTTCTTCGTGTCCATAGTAGTGGTCCAATGGGCGGATCTCATTGTCTGTAAGACCCGACGCAACTCTGTCATCCATCAAGGGATGAGGTTTGTACGCCATTTCATATCATTATTCAATCAATTAGTGCACAACTAATTGTGATCATGTTTTTTATATGTACTCTATTTAATCACTCAAATTGAATCCAACGTTTTTATTTCCCTTTTCTCTCTGCGCCTATGATTGCAATTCAATACTGATTCCCAACACAACCACAACCACAACAACAAAACACCACAACAGGAATCATGTCTTGAATTTTGGTCTACTATTCGAGACGTGTTTAGCGGCGTTTTTATCCTACTGTCCGGGAATGCCTATACTTCTCAGATTATATCCATTAAAGTAAATATCAATTTATTATCAATTCTTTTTCAATTTACGTGTTGAGAGTCTGTGAGTGTGTGAGTGATAGGGAGCGTGTGAGTGAGTGGTACACAGTATATCACTGAGTGATGGCTTGTAAGTGAACGAGAGAGAGAGAGAGAGACATTGAGATACAGAGAATGAGAGATATAACAATGACTAGTCACTAGTGCCTGGAATTATCCAACAGTTTTTCTCTCTGTCTTAATGTAATAATAAGTGATTGAAAAAATTTTGAGAGAGAGAGAGAGAGAGAGAGAGAGAGTAAATAATTTGTGTGCGAAGAGAATATATGTGTATTATGTGAAAGTTGGCGCAAAGAAACACTTTTTCATTTATTAAGTAAACTTTTCTTTCGGTACTTTTAATATACTTTATACGTTGTATATACTCTCGCAGTGTATATACAACTCACTTAAAACGATAGCTAAATGTATAAATCATACACTATATTAAATGCTATATAAATAGAAAATACCTGAATGCTGTTATATGGCGGTGAAGTGGTGTGCGTGTAATGCACACAAACACTATTGAGTACTGTATATGTATAATAATTGACCATGGTAACATGTATATATAGGTTTTCGTGGTGGTTCCCAGCATTGCCTTTCTCGCTGCTAATATTCTTCTACGACGAGGCCAGACGTTTTATCTTACGCCGCAATCCCGGCGGTTGGGTTGAGTTGGAGACCTACTACTGAGCCCCGGGAGGACACACCGTATGTCACTTGCGTTTCCCCCGACAACACCTCCCGATCCCCACAAACCTATCTCTCATTCTCTGTATCTCAATGTCTGTCTATCTATACATTTGCAGCTCTTTTATAGCACGACAACAATTGAAGGCATTCTTTAGATATCTAAACAATTAATTAATTAAATAATTATTATTAAAAAACTAATAAATATATATAAAAATTATATAAATAAATATAAATAGACATTTATTCTAGTAATTGGCAGACAATTATAAGTGAATTGCATTTTAATATAAGTATATATGAAATATAAATAAATAGGTATTTATCACTCATTATTGTGCGGAAGGATTAGGTATTTGAGAGATATTATTGTTTAAATCGGTTATTATTATTGGATAAAAGTTATTATTATGTAGTCTTTATGATTGAATTTACTTTTTGTTTTGTTATGTTATTATTATTTTTTGTTTTTGTTGTTTAAATAGTATTATAATTATAATTATATTAGTATTAAAAGAATTCACTTATATTTTCACATAAGAGACACAATTATATAATCACTGCTCGAAAAAAAGTAATTTTTCAAACAAAATGTTATAATTATTAAACAAATTGATTGATTTCATTGAAACGGATTGTAAAATTACTACAAAACAAAAAAATTATATATACATTATAACACCTAATCTATCATCACATTAGCATTAAATTAAATTAATTAATAAATTTTTTGAAATAATTTTTATTTTTTATTTTGAGACTAATTTACGTTAATTTTGAAGCGAAAAGTGTTTGACTTTTTTGTGCAAAAATAATAAATGATAAAAATTAGGACAAAATTATTTCAAATTAAAACTATATTGAAAACAGAAAAAAATACTTTTAACTAAATAAAAATTAAGTGAAATTTACTATTGAGAACACCGATTATGCAGGAAATTAAAATTACAAATTAAATTAATTGATTAAAACAAATATATTTAAAAAATTAAATTTACAATATTTTTCATTTTGATAAATATTTATGAAATTCAATTCTCTATCAAATCGTTGGCTCACTTTTATCTCAATATAAATTTACGATTTTCTTTCTGTTGTGACGACAAGAATAAAACAATTAAACATTTGAAACACAGAAACACATATTAAGACATACAATACAATAGTTATAATAAATTTTCAATACATGTAATGAATATTGATTTGAGACAAAGAAAAACTGCTGCGAAAATAAAATAAAATTTGTTGTAATTATTATTATGTAAATTGCGAGTCGAGTGACAATTGATTTTTGAAATTTACCATTTTCATTTTGGTTGCGCCAAAAATAAGTTAAATTTAAAAAATACAATACATTATACGGTGTATTAAATTATAGGAGTTTTTATTGCATTTCATTTCCTTCGAGAATAACACAAAATACAGGCATTCATAGCAAATGTTTTTTACAAATACATTGTTTTTAGGTTTGAATTATTTATTCATTTAAATATCAATATAATAGAGAGTTTCTTATTCTTTACGTCAAAATTATTCTCTCCTTTTTTCACGTTTACTATAGAAACAAAACAACAGAAAAAATATTATAATAATATTTTAATTCAATTATTGTAATATTGAATTTATAAGTAGAAAATATAGTATTTTAAGTCCAAATACTAATTCAATTACTGATACATAAGACTTCTTATATATTTTGCATATATATTCTGTGCTCTCATTACAGCATTTAATGTATGTCTAAACACATGATAACTCTTACCTCGGATTACACTTTGGACTTAATATATTGTCTTTCCTTCTGATTGTAATACAATTTTCATAATTGAATGTCACATATATTTTAGTTATAATTATATTTTAAATTCATATAAATATATTAAAATTAAATAAATATTTATTTATTACAAAATATTGTATTTAAAAAATATTTAATATGATATTTAGTTTTTACTCAAAGTGTGCACTGAATATGAATTACATATGTTTAGTAATATTTCAATTGATTTTCAATACAATTAAATTTAATTAATTAATTAGTAAAATAAATTACGATAAACAACAAATTAATTATAAATATAACTGTAATATATATTTGAATTGAATTATAAGTTATATAACAATTTGATTAAAATTATTCGTCGATTTTTGTGAATTAAAAGTGAATTTCAAATACAGAGTAAAAAATAACAAAAAGAAATGCAAAACAAATATTAAAAAAATTAAATGTAAAGCAAAAATGTTTTTCTGTGGTAACAAAGCATTGGAATTATAATATAGTTATGAAATAAATACACTATAAAATGGTTTTCACATTTGAATTTAGATAATGTTTAGAAATGAATTACAAAAACATTTGTTGTAAAAGTTTTAAATAATATTAAGAAACAAAAACTAAACTAAACTAATGGTTTAAAAACACGGAATAAAAATAAAATAAAAATTTCATAAATAAAACATTGTTTGCATATAGTATTTGATGAATACCTAAAAATAATACTTGTATTTATAACTATATTACTTTTTTAGTCACTTATTACATCATTTTATGAATTATTTTTATTATTATTACTGAATATTATTGCATATAATGTGTGAATCAAAAGACAATTTTTAGTCAAGAATTTGTTACACAACAGGAATATTATATTAGATATTAAACTAAAATACAGAGAAATTGTATGAATTCTTAAGGTATAGTTTATGTAGCTTTTAAGGTATGGTTACAATGTATTTAGTTTTTAATGTATACTTTGCAGCGAAAAATAAAGGAAAAAATAAATTACATGTAAGTTATGTTGTAATAAAACTACAGTGTATTTTCAGTCACTAGAAAAATTGCACACATTTTCAGTGCATTAATATTGAAATATTATTATAAAAGCCATACAATTTCGGCACTCAAAACACACAACGATATAAAACACACAATAAATAACAAAAAAGTTTAAAACAATTTTGCGTTAGAAATGTTTGTATATAAACATTATAGGTATGAAAGATATCTCCAAAAATATATCAAATGAAATAAATTAAAACAGAAAATTAATTAATTTCAACACATTATGTGCGATAACATAGTGTTTAGAAAAGGCGAGTGTTTTTTGAGAGATGAATAGCAGTTTTTTAAGGACACAAAAGAGGTTCACAACAAGACATAAGAAGATAGATTTTGGGCCGACTATTGTTTTATCCAAACGTTTAGAAAATTGCATAAATTGCAATAAATATATTCAATGGCAAAGGAGAGAGAGAGAGACTATATCATCAATTCCTATCCATTTATATCTAATATCTAGACATCAAATCTGGTGTATCTTTTCTCTCGTTGATCGAGAGGTAATCGATAGAAACACTACTGTATATGTATTTTCACATTATATATTATCCACGAGTAAATTCAACTTAATCTTCCTGTGTATGTGGTGTGACATCAAATATATTTGCTAAACTCTTATATCCCGGCACTTTATTCCCCAAAACTACCCGTCCCTACCCTTCCCATCCCTATTCGTCCCTTTCTTCACATTTTTGCCATTCATTTCCAAACCAAGAATAAAAAGCATTAATCAATAGATTGGAGAATAAGTTGAATGTCATTTGACAACAAATAAGTGGATCTTATAATATACAAGAGTACAGGCATTACAGGCGCAAGAAGTTAAGACTCCTTTCGTCTCTCTCTCTCTCTCTCTCTCTCTCTCTCTGACGAAAATATATGTATTTAATACTAAATTTCTGCCAACCTTTCTATACAACTATAGACCGAATG